TGTGAAAAAAGCCCCCATCATTATTCTTCAGTCATGTTTCTCTTGATTGTACAGATTGGATTTCTTTTATTTTGCTATAGCATTGCAATTTTTAACTCTGACCTTCTGCAGATTTTTTGTTAGAACTCCCCCCCGGCCCCCCGCTGAAAAGGTATTGGTTGTAGAGTTCAGGATTTTTAAATTTGGGAATGATCATACTACTTTACTTATCATAAATAAACAGTATGCTATTATTCACACTTCCAGTGTTCATTTACATCAAATTATTCTAATCCTAGAGCATTTTACTTAATACTTGTTTTTGTTCCTCTTCCACATGTATTTTTTCTAGATTTTTTTCCCCAGTAAATTTGAATTATCTAACAGGCCATGCAACGATGAGATAGAATTGTTTACTTAAAAATTAAGATTTTTCACATGAATTTTATTATTTTCAAATAATAATTGGTGTTTAGCCATAAGGCTCAGGTGAGTTATATTACATTTATAATTTATCTCCAGTTCTTACTGAGCTTATTTCTTTAAGAGTTAGTTCTTCTTAGTTTACTGTTTCTAATGGAGTTTCTCTGCTCTGTTCTCTTCCAGTTCTCCTCTCTTCTTCACTTTTTTTCACTTGCCCTCCCATTTCCCCTCCTTCTTCCCATTTATTAATTTATATCATAGTATCTGTCTCATTATCTGAAAAGATAAAAACAATTGTCCACAGTGGTAGGATGAGGGGAATGAGGAGGGGAGACAAAGGTGAAAACATTTTTGAGCACAGGAAAGAGGTGAGTCATACTTTCCCACAGGGCTCTGTAACAAATCATTGGTCTCATACGTAGAACTGCCTTCCAGACAATGTGGAGGGCTCCTCTGCAAGAAAAATACCCACCAAGTGAAATAGAAGTAAGCTAGTGTTTTCTTCCTCTGAGCATGTCGCCATATATGTGAGTTTTAATGGCTTTTCTATCTTTGCATGTCATTTATATACATGTGTATGATTTAAATATAGATGGAAATTGTATCTGCATTTATGATTTCTAGACCAGCTAACATATTAGGGGTACTAAATATGGATTTTATCACCTTTTATTCTATTTAATGATAATTACATGACATGAGCTAATATTAATCCAGGAAAATAAGGAGTCAGGTTATACATACTTTTACTTTAAACTGCATATTAAATCAGAGTTTTCTCTTCCCATTTTTATGCTGTAAACAGATGTAGCTTTCACTTGTAAAATTTATTGTCTCAACCAGAATAGCAAATAGTATATTTACTCACAGTATGGAAAATTTTATTCTTTAAACAAATTAGTCATTGGGTCACAGAGCATGTACATTTCCAAAATTGTTAAGGTAAATAAAATATCTTGTTTCTCAACACTAATAAAAATATGAGAAGAAGAGTACTTCAGTCTAAGCCCCTGAAAATTAAATGACTTGGAGTTTGGGGTCCTATTTCAGGAGATAACTTCCTTTTGTCTCCTGGAGATCCTCTTAACCTTTTTTCACTTTAATTTCTTCAACAAAAAAATAGCATGAAAAATAGTAAGCATAATAAATTACTTGTGGATCATATAGATTGATACCTCTAAAGTATATAGGGAAACATATGATTAAATGTTTTTATAGGCCAGAATCTTGCAAAAGATTTTGATCCATTCCGACTTTTTAGACTATTAAAGAAATTGTAGAGAAAAGAGCTTCTCTGAAAACTGCTGTAAGCAATTATGATTGCTAATAGGGAAAAAGTTACTAACTCAGGATGCCTAGACTAATGCAGATAAATGAATTGTTATATTACCTAATTTACTCACTTGAGAACTTTTTTTGACTCACTTTACCGTTATTAATAGGATGAGAATAAGATGTTATTTAACCAGGAGACTGGAACATCCTAAACCTTTGCCTCCTTGAAGATCGAGAGAAATAAACATTCTATTACACTGAGGCTTTGTGGCCAAAAAACACTGTAGAAATAAAGGTAGACTTAATCTCCTTAAATGCTTTTTTAGCCAAATTTACTAGTGGACTGGGGCCTAGAAATAAACATGGCTGGAGGGCTGTCTTTGCTTCCTTTACTCTAAGTCCACAACTGAGTGGTCTTAGTGCTCTTAAGTAAGTGAAATCCAATCAGCCATCAACGAAAATAGCAATTAGGAGATGTATATTTGAAATAAGAACTAAGGAATAAGAGAGAGTTTGCCTCAATTCCTAGAGCAAGGCTGGTCTAGATCGTCTGTTCCAAGCTTTCTCAGTTCCTTTCACTAGCTGCTTGGAAGGATGGATATTTTCACAGAAAGACAGTTTGCCTCAGTGTCTAGAGTTGCTCAGCTAGTCATACCATATCACACCAGGCAACTTCTGAATAGCAGTACAACTGCGTAAACTGCATGGCAGAAAGAGCAAAGTAGGGAACACAATGAAAAAAGAGCGGTTAGTCTGCATTTTTATGGAAGCAAGAAAGAAGGGAGAGAAAAGAGGAGATAAGAAAAGAGACATTAAAATAAAGCTGTCCTGGGGCTGGCCCAGTGGTATAGTGGTTAAGTTCACGCGCTCCACTTCCATGGCCCAGGGTTTACAGGTTTGGATCCCGGGAGTGGACCTGCACACTGCTCATCAAGCCATGTTGTGGTGGTGTCCCACATACAAAATAGAGGAGGATTGGCACAGATGTTAGTGACAATCTTCCTCAAGCAAAAAGAGGAAGATTGGCAACAGATGTTAGCTCAGGGCCAACCTTCCTCACTACAAAAATAAATAAATAAATAAAGCTTTCTTCCATGAACGAGTAGGTCCAGAGCCTTTTATCTGTAAAGGAAGATCCCAAGACATAACACCTAAGAAAAAAGTCTACCACACCCTTGGCACTATTGGCCAGTAAGTTGGTCCTCAATCCTGTCTGCACATTATCATCCTGCCTGCACCTTGGGCAATGGGAGGGGAACTATGAGTGTTTCTTTGTCAAAACTATGAGTTTTTCTCAGTGTTCATGAGATTCTCAAATGTTTGAAATCCATAAATTAAAAATATTTTTTATTGAGGTATAATTTGAAATCTGTAAATTCTTTTATAGTATTTTATATTATTTTCCTCCAAAGAGATTAAGTTTGTGCTGGTTGGGTAAAAATGGGTTAGTATTAATAAAGCATACAAATAAGAGAGAAAGTGGTTAAATTATCTCTTAACTGAGAGTGACTCTGTGCCGTTGGGCAGATCTTCACTCACCCTAGCTTCAATCTCCCTAGTCAGCTTAGCTCTCGTTTTCAGTTTTTGCTTTCTGCTTTCTTAACCTGAACTCGGTCATGAAAGCAGCAACACAGCACAGGTAGGTCACTGTAAGGCCCACTCTGATCCCTTTATTGTTCCTCAAAGCTGTCAGGTTCCTGCCTTCTCTTCCCTCCTAGAATATCTGATGGTATCAGCTGTGGAAAGAACACTGGACATACTCCTTGGTATAAAGGTAACTGGAAGAGAAAGTACACATTTATGTCAAAATTCTTTATAATCATAAAGGGAACCCTTCCTTGATAAAAATTGCTTAGACTTTACTGTAAAGTAAAATCGATGATTTAAAGTATCCATAATAATATAGAGGTATAATCCCTTATAGAAAATAAAAAGTATATTGAGCTAATTATATGTCAGAGGAGTGCTTTGGAGGGTCTTGTTTTCATGACAAAGTATATAGCTGAGAAAAAGCGTTAAGTAAAGAGGTTTCGCAAGCTTCTTTTTTATTTTAACCTTTTAAAAATGAAAGTGTAGCATACATATAGAAAAGTACTCTGCCATCTTTTGTGTAGTGAAGTTTCTTCCCATGAGGCAAAGCCAGCTAATGGAAGATTCTCCCCATCTTCATGATCCTCCTGTATTAGCTACATAATTTTGAAATTCTCTTCTTGGGGATTTTGATTTTGTTATAAGATCTCGCTATCTCACTATTAGTCTTGTTAAAAAAAATCTTAATTCTTGGGTCACTTTCCTAGTGTCATCAGCAAATATACGTATGAATTCTTTATGTAAATCAGTTACCACAGATTGAGTTATGCCTCATTAAATCACAATCATAAATTAGGATTTTCATCACCAAGTAGGTTCATGAGTTTTGGAGGAATACCATTGTTAACCATATACGACTCTCTGTATGACACCACTTATACCATATGCTGTCTCAGAGTTTTAATAAACTCTGGTTTTAAATTTATTTAATTCATGTTGCCTTGAGTTAAAATAATTTTAAGGTTGTCTATCAAGCCTTTAAAACATTGTTTCTATTTTATCACACTCTGTTCAAGGTCTTCAATGATTTCCTGTTGTCTACAGGAAAAAGTCCATCTTCCTTAATCTGGTATTCAGAAGTCTTTACATTCTGTCTACAGTCTTATTGCCTGACTTGGCTCTGACTCTTCCTTCTGCCCCTCCTCCCATACTTCAGCAGCAGATGCTGATTTATACTAAGTGAGAATATATCAGGCAACCTTAATGAACTCAACGAAAGGCTTAGTTTTTCTTTTTTTCTTTCAAATGTATATGTAATGTATATATTATGTCCAATTAGGCTATTTCCTACACTCCCTCCCTGTTGCTTCCTATCACTGTACATTTTTTCCCATTTCTGCCATCTTTAGAATGACTTATTGTTTTCATTCAATTCCTATAAATACCGTTGTGGCTTAGTTCAAGTCCTTTTTTTTATGAAACCCTCCAAAATTAATATAGGTAGGTTAAAGTGTTTTCATCCTCCTTAGAAATTTAGCACATTTTTCCTTTATTACACTGGCCAATAACACATACTATCTTTTTACTATCAATTGTAGTTTTATATTGAGGTTTGATTATATTATTTAGTTTTCTTTGTGTTTATGTCTTGTTTCCCCTCTGAGACTATTAAAATAACTTGAGGGCAAGGACTATGTCATATACAGTCCTTATATATATGTATATGTGTATTTATATACACAGACAACTATTTAATTGATTATTAATAAATTTGGATGTATTTTTTGAAACAGCTTTACAATGAGTTACATATTTGTTTTGAAACCACGAAGTCAAGTGAAGCTATGCTCCGGCAAAGTGTTGTTAGTCTTCAGGATCAGCTATTTCAAAAAGAGCAAGAAAATGCTAAATTAAAGGAAAATCTTCAGGGATCACAAGGAGCACCCTATCCTTATCCTCAAGAAAATGATTCAGACCACTCAGAACAGGTGAGAGACATTTTCTAAAAATATTACCCAGTGCAATATCATATTATATCATTTCCTACTATTGACTAATACATAAAAATTTAAATAAATTTGCATATATTAGACTATAATTTGTGGCAGATCATTTTGTGTTGTGCTATTTTTTGTAGACATGAATATTATATATAATATGGATTCATAAAGAAACGTATGTAGAAATACAGGGTATATCTGATGTAGTTATTGTGATGAAACATTTGACTGATAGACAATAATGAAGAGCAAATTAATAGGTCATGCCCATTTTGAGACTTTGCAACTGAATGAGGTGACAGGATGGAGAGAGTATTGAATACGAAGCCTCGTAAAGTACTTGCCATAATGCCTGGTGTATGATACTTAATCCCTTTTAGTCCCAATTCTGCCACTACCTTGACGTATGATTGGGATAGGTCAGTTGACCTTTCTACCTTTCCCTGTGCTATTAATTTAGGTAGTACAAATGTGTAAACAAATATGCAGGTTCAGGATTTAAATGAACCTGGGATCAAATTACCGCTCTGCCTTGTGAGCTTTGTGAACTTGAACAAATTTATTAACTCTTTTAGCCAGTTTCCTCACAAATAAAATGTTTATATTAATGGTATGTATGTCATAGAGTTTTGTGAGGATTAGTGAGAGGATGCGTGTTAAGTGCAGAGCTTGGCATATAGAAAATGTTCAGTAGTCCCCCTTTTAGGTAATCTTCAAGGTAACTTTCAGCTCTAAATATATATTATAAAAAAATCTTATTCCTGTAAATTTAAGTGTTTTTAAGGCACTCAGCATATCTTTAAACTTTAGGATTTACTAATTTAGTTTAGAAATGGAATTAATACAAACAGATAATAGAGTGCTTACGTGTTTAATGATCCTTTAAAAATAATTTTTGAACCTGGCATATTTTGTCTTGCAACTCAACCTTGAGACAACAATTTTTAAATTTGTATTATATTGCATTTTTTGGACATTAGGTGCACAGAATTGGATTAAGTTTGTTTCAGAACGTGGTATTATGTTCCATGCATAAGTCTATTATATTTATTTTAATTAATTTGTTTATTATAATCGACACCCTTGGTCCTACCAACTAATCCAAGGATAGGATATTACTAATGACTGACATCTACTTGTATGCTCCTGCCTTATCTGGTATCCCCTCTCACCAGAAGTAACCACTAAACTCTTTATCATTTCGATTATTTTCTAAAACATTTTATCACATAAGATTCATCTATGTCATTTGGTATAGCTGTTCATTTATTTTTACTGATTTGAAATAGTCTACCCTATGTGATTGTATCATTAACTACTTGTGCATTCATTTGTAGATGAGTATTTGGGTTATTTCCAGTTTTTTGCTATTATGAATAATGCTGCAATTGATGTTTTTGTACTTGATTCTTGGTACACATGTGCATACATTTTTGTGGAATATATATCTAGGAATGGAAATCCTGGATTTAGGGTGTGAAAATGTTACATGCTTTATATTTTCTTGATATTAATCTCTAGGAGGTTAAATTGTGGCAAATATCTCAGTGTGTATCTTGTCTTTTCATTTTCTTTAACTTATCATTTGATAAACAGAAATTATTAATTTTAGTTTAGACAAATTAATCTTTTATAGTTAGTGCTTTGGCATCTCATATAAGAAATCCTTCCTTACCCCCAAAACAAGAATGATTTGCACCTCTGTTTTCCTGAAAAAGTTTTCATGCTTTCCTTATGTCATTTATATTCACAATTCATTTGGAATTGTGTTTTGCGTATAGTATAGTATAAAGAAAGGAATCATTTTATTTATTTATTTTTCCCCAAATAATATCAGTTTTTCCAGAGCAACCTGTTGAACAATCCCCCTTTTTCCTGTGTAGTACTGGGCCACCTCTCTCTCATACCCTAGTTCAGTATATTCATGATTTCTTTCTGAGCTCTATGTTCTCTGTATTTCTATACAATGTTACATCCTCTTAATTAATATAGCTTCATAAGTCTTTGTATTTGGTAGATCTACTCCTACTTTCTTACTGTTCTTTGAAGTGTCTTAGCTATGTTGGCACGTAATACTTAAATATAACTTTAAGTATAATTTATAAAGTTTAATGAAGAACATTGTTGAAATTTTTCATGAACAATTTTAAAGTGTAACATACTAATGGTAAAGTGTACACACCTTAAGTGTATAACTCAGTGACATTTTATAAAGTGGACACATCCATATATATACTACTCAGAGCAAGATGTAGAATATTACCAGTGACCAGTAAACCTACCTAGTGTTCCTTATCAGTAGCTACCCCCACAAAGGTAAGCAACTATTTTGAATTCTGTCCTCACTGATTAGTTTTGCTTATTTTTGAAACTTACGATTTTACCTTTAAACACTGTGTCTGCTATAGGTTTTTTGTAAATATCTTTACCACATTAAGGAAGTTCCCATCTATTCATAGTTTAAAGCTTTTTCACAAAGAGGTATTGTGTATACAGTGTATCTTTTAAGATGATGCTAAGGCTTTTCTCATTAATTCTGTTAACAAGGTGAATTACATTGATTGATTTTCAATTATTCAATTTTGCATTCCGGAAATAAACCTAACTTTATTGTAATGTTTTATTATTTTCATATATTGCTAATTAAATTTGCTAATATTTTCCTTAGGATTTTTGAATATGTATTTATGAGGGATATTGGGCCGTACTTTTCCTCTCTTGAAAGTTTCTTGTCAGATTGATATCAAGGTGATGCTGGTATCCTAATATGAATTCCTAAGTATTCTTTTTTACTTCACTAGAAGAGTTTGTGTAAGACATATTTCTTGCTTAATAATAAACACTGAATGCTTTCCTTCTAAGATAAAGAACAAGTCAGTTCTTTTCAACTTTATACTGGAGATTCTAACTAATAAAATAAGGCAAGGAACAAATAAAATCATACCAATTAGAAATAAGGAAGTAAAATTTTTTTTATTCACACACAACATGAGTATCTGACTAGAAACCCTGTTGAATCTCTGATAAAGCTCCTAGAAATAGTAAGTAAATTTAGCAGTGTTGCAAGATACAACATCAATTTGTAAAAGTCAGTTGTGTTTCTAAATACTAGAAACAAATAATTATAAATTGAACTTAAAAAAACAGTCCCATTTATAACAACACCAAAGCCTATGTAATAATTAAGGGTAAATTTGACAAAACATGCACTGGACCTATACACTGAAAAGTACAAAACATACCAGAGTGTAATTAAAAAACATAACATAAATGGACAGCTATGCCAAATTGATGAGTCAGAAGATGCAGTGTTGTTAAAATGTCAATTCTCCCCAGGTTCATCTATTTATCATGTAATACCAATCAAAATTCCAGGAGGCTTTTTTGTTTTTTGAGAAATATAAGCCAATTCTAAAATTTATAGGGAAATGCAAGGGACCTAAAAGAGCAAAACAAATGATTATGAAGAAAAAAGTTTGAGGACTTACACTACCTGACTTTGAGACATATTTCTCCAGCTGAAAAAATCAAGGTGGTGTTGTATTGGCCTAGTGATTGACAGAATAATCAGTAGAACGAAATAGAGTCCAGAAAAATATCCACTCATTTATGTTTCTTTATAGTACTCTTGACACGAGGGTGGAGTAAGTCACTTTATTCTTTTTCAAGAATGCTCTGTGTATTCTTACTCTGTTGGTTTTTATAGAAATTTTAGTATCAGGTTGTTGATTTTACAAATAAGCATTCAGTTAGAAATGTTTCTAATTTCCATTGTGATTTTCTTTTGACCCCTTGTGTTATTTGGAAGTATGTTGTTTGTGTTTTAAATATTTGGGTTTTTTCTCCTATATATCTTATTTTTATTCACTCCCAGTATACTTCTGCTGTGGTCAGAGATAGTACTCTGTAAGACTCCTGTATTTTGAAATTTATTGAGGCTTACTGTATGGCCCAGCATATGGTTTGGTGAACAAACTATGTGTACGTGGAAATAATTCGTATTCTACAGCTGTTGGGTGGAATGTTCCTTAAATATCAATATTAATCACGTCCTTGTGATTGATAGTGTTCAGATCTTCTGTCTTTAATGATTTTTGTGTTTAGTTTTTTTGTCAGTTTCTGAGAGAGGTGTTAAAATCTCCCAGTAGGATTGTAGATTTTTCTCTTTCTCCCCTTAATTTTGTCAAGTTTTGCTTCATGTACTTTAAACGTGTTTTATTAGGCACATACATATTTCTGATTGTCATTTCTTTCTGATTAATTGAACCCTTTAAAATGTCACTTTTAACTATGATAATATTTTGTTGACTTGAAAGCCAATTTTATAATGTTAATATAGCCAATCTGTCTCTTTAATGATGACATTTTTCATGATATACCTTTTCCTATCCTTTTAATTTCCACCTGTAAGTATCTTTATATTTAAAGTGTACATAGTTTAGTCCTGTATTTTTATTTGTTCTGACAATTTCTTCCTTTAATTGCTGTGTTAATTCATTTAAATTTAATATAATTATTAATATGATTGGCTTTAGGTATACCATTTTACCATTTGTTTTCCCTTTATCCTGCTTTTGTTCCTCTGTCCTCTTTTCCTTTCTCCTTTTGGGTTAAATGACTGTTTATGTATTTTTTAAAAACAAATTTAAAAATTTCACTTTTCTGTGTTTTGAATTCCACTGTTTCTGACCATAAGTCACTGGGAATTTGTTTTGTTGTTCACTTAAATGTGTTGTGTCAGTATTATATAGCTTTTTGTTCAGTATTTTACCTCTGGTTTTAAGTGTTTTAACTATGATGTTCCCAAGTATGATGTTTATTGTACTCATCCTTCTCACGATTTGCTGAGCTTCTTGATTTTTGTAATTAATATATACCTATGTGTATATATGTATATATATGTATACGTATGTATTTTCTTTTACTAAAGTGGGGAACATTTTTTATATTATTTCCTCAAATATTTTTCTGACTCCTTTTCTCTCTTC